AGTGTGGATATGAGGAGGTTAGTTCTGCATGTCTTTTTTTGCTAGGAGTCCGAAGAGCGCTTACAATGGCCCAGTAAAAGCAATTTTGATCTATATTTTTAATGTTTATACAAGCATTTTTCCTTATAATCGGTTCTGGTAGTCTAATATAAGATGAACCGTTTCCCAATTGATATTTACTGATATTAACAACTAAGGAAATAATTTTATTTAACGCAAATCCCGAATCTTTTTCAGCAAATTCCGATAATTCGTTTAAAAGTTTATCTTTCACATATATCTTAAACCACTCGTCTATTTGAGTTGATGTATCAATAATATGATTTTTAGTATTAATATATTTAATTCCCAAAATTTCATTATCCCCCGATTTCCTAATAAACTCCCCGCAAAATGTTGTATTTACTTTGAGCGCACAATGGGTGTTCAAAATATTCCTAATTTTCCTTTTAAAAACAACTACACAATCTGCTAAAAATTGATTCAAGTCCTTATGACGCAAATTAGCTATGGAACCGGTTTTTATTCTACTTTGAAAGCTCGATTCTACATTTTCCCATCTAACCCTCTGACCCAATGTTAAGTGAAGTCCTGCCCCAATATGTCTAGTTAAAATCAACTTTCTAAAATGTTTAAAATGCCCCAAATTTGTTTCTACTTTTCTACAGGTCCCTACAGATAATTTATTTTGCCTTCTACTACGAATTACCCGTTTACATAATCTAATTTGTTTTTCTATTCGTTTCAGCCACACTTCCGCGTCTCTGATTGTAAAATTATCAAATAAAATTTTCCGTAGACTAACAATTGATAGTAGAACACCGTCTGTTTGTTTGATGATCTTTTTAACCTTATTTGAAGACATTTGAAAAGACGACATTTTTTTTTTCAAGCAAACACATTACTCAAAAATATATAAAAATGCTCACCCTGTCCTCCTCCTCCTGTTCTCTGCTTTGTTAATTTTCCACTATTTTGAATGATGCTAGCGGTCGGCTTTTCCCTACGTCCACTTCCCCTTGGAAGATGATCGAGTATTTTCCGTGAAAAAGTTCGTCGATGACCGGCTGGTACGTTTCCGTCACCCGCTGTGGTAGAAATAGCACTTCCGGTCCTAAATCTAGTAGCACGGCTTCCCCAAATTTCGACTTGACCACTTTAGCTGCTTGGATTGCAAATGGTGTCCCGACTGGTAGGTCCTTTAATTTTCTGATAGGTTTGCGGTCTACAATCGAAGACGCAGCATTAATTTTTGATAAATCCATCTATAAAAAAAATTGAGTCGTCTAACTATTTTGAAGCATAACACGAAAAAACAGTTGCACTTAGAGACATAAAAAAGAAAAATATTAAATAAAATAGCACTTACTTTTTTTAAAATTTTCGCTATCTCGTCTCTCTCGAAGCACTATTGTACTGCGGCCGTTGTTCCAGCTTGCAGCGTTGTGCGTTAAGTGTGAAACAATGATGACTATTGCATGCGCTCGCTAAATATAAATACGTGGTTGAGATAACACACGCGTGCATGAGATAATTGTATCGTAAATATGCATATTATATGCATCATATTCTCAGTACCATTTTTATCGAGAAAACAACATTCATTGCGGTTGCAGTATTTTTTATATAATTTCTTAGTAATACATGAATGTATCGTTTGTCCGGCGGAAATTCCAATTACAAGTTGCACATGAGAGTAGAAATTTAGAAATATAGTAAATTCGTGTATGATTATTGTATATTTGCTGCCTAATTTTTTTTCAGTCAAGATTTTGATTGGGGGGTAAACGAATTTATATTTGCTATCTGAGATTTTTGACATCATTCTCTATCAGGTGTTGGTTCATGAAATTGGACATGCTCTCGGCATAGCACATAGTGCTTCTCCGAATGCTATTATGTTTGCCTTCTATCAGCATGAGATTCGTGGTCTAGATGTTGATGATATAAATGCAGTACAATATCTATATGGAAGAAAAAACAAATATGATTCAATCCCAACGTCTACCACCGCATCAGCAATACCAAAAACAACAACAACTATAAGATCTACAACTCGTAAGCAGCCGATCCTCAAAAATTTGTGTGATATTATTCCAGATTTTATGTTTTTAGCTATTGCTCCAGAGTTTTCAAATTACCGATTATATATTGCACATGATATGTTTATATGGAAACTAGACTTAAACGAAATGATTATCCCATCTCAGCCTGAACTTCTTGTCGATTATGTTCCTACAGAATTACGTCAATACACTTTACAACATATTTTCCAATCAACAAACGGTGACTTGATTACCATTGTGTCTCCAAACAACTATTTCTCAGCATCATTCCCTACCATTAAATTTCTTGATAATTTTTCAATTGATATACCCGATAGGGCTCGAATCAATGCTATTTTTCAATCAAACGCAGGACGGTCCTATACCTTTTATAATAATATGTCATATATAGAATTTTCTAACGATTTTACTGATGTGTTGAACAGAGGACGGATAAGAGACATATTTCCTGGGTTACCTGAAGTTTAGGGAAAAAATTAAAAAACAACCAGAACTGAACCGTGAAATACATAATTTGATTCTTGTCTGTCATGAACCAAATCAGTTGTCGAACAATGATTTGAGTCGATTAGTATCAACATCTAAAGTACTCCCTGATATGTAGTTTTATTGAAAATACCTCTGGTTTGCGAAATAATATTGTCGGAATTTCTTGTTGCAAGTTGTTCAAGCGCGGGTATTCAAAACATGGCACACACACACACACCAATCAACCTTATTGTTATATATACTATATGTTTCAATAAAATATCCATTATACTATTTTCATTTTGAACGGTATCATCCTGTATAATAATAACAGTACATCGTATACAGGTTATGAGACATTCTGACCGACCGACCGACCGACCAGAGGAGCCCACCACGCTATTTAGGTCACGCCTTGCTATATACGATTTAACGATATACCGTCGGTCCATCGATCCGCTATTTTTCGATGCACCCCTGTATACACGTTGCCCCCCGTAATCCACGCCAACACCAGACAGGTGCGACATCGGCGCCATCTATGCGCGAGATGCCCAACCCATCAATGGCAGCTGTCCAATGACACATAGATTCCGTTTGGTTTGTACAGCGCCAAACAAATCGGCGCCATCTATGCGCGAGATGCCCAACCCATCAATGACAGGTGTCCAATGACGTATAACAGATGACGTTTTAACGCCATCTATGCGTGAGATGCCCAATGACGCATGACAGGTGTCCATTGACACACAGATTCCGTTTGGTTTGACAGCGCCATCTAGCGGCGGAATCCCCAACTCATGATTACAGATTCCGTCCAACAACCTGTCAATGGCGCGCGACGTCAGCGCCTCTGGTGGCGGATTTTGGAAGTTTTGAGACCGAATCCCCATAAGACATCTACTGCTGACACCAAGTTCCCGATGCATACCGTAAAGTCTCGGACTCTGCATTGGTTGCTGATTATTGTTCTTACTAAGTTTAGTAATGTCGGCTTCTTCTGCTCAAGTAAAGATACTTCCTTTCTGTCACAATTGAAAACCTGGCCTAAAAGTGCCCAATTTTGACTGGAGGTTAAACAGCTTTTTTTGTAGTTGATTAAAAAAAGGGTGTTAACTGTTGCCCCGATATTATCAAGGCAACCTCTATCAATATAACCGAACAGAAAGAAATACAGACTGATTCAGCGCTATTGCCGTGTACTAGGGAATTTCATGAAAGTTCACGATTTGGCAACGCTTCTTTATTCCGATCGGCCCACCTTCACTCCAGTTATCTAATAATTGAGTTCAGCGATTGCTTGTTTGAGGAGCTGTTCCTTTGTCGTTTCTTATGTTTGGGCCTCTCAACACTGATGAAAATGTAAAAATCGGTGCGCGAACTAGAGCAACTCGACGTGTACCGCGTGGCACGATAAAATGGAGTGAGAGTTTGTAGGCCAGGGGCCGGTGAAGAGTAAGGTGGGATGGCGTGGTTGCCGATTTTCTTCGTTGCGTGCGCACTTTGAATTCGTGGGTTTGGCCGGGAAAGGTTTTATTTACGAGAAGAGTGCTGCTTATATTTTTTACGTGATATCCCAGTACATCTGTTTGAATGTTGAGTATACGTTTTTTTGCCAAGTCTTCAGATTCTCAAAGCCAAGAGCTAATAGAACATTTTCGCTTTCATTCTATTGGGTTCTGCGAAACAGTTGAATTGAGCGTGAAACTAAAATAGTCGATGGGGCTATGTGGAAATATGTTATAGTGTATGATAAATAATTTAAAACGTGGAATTATCTGATTGCACACTGCTCCCCAGATTTGACTTGGTGCAGGGATTTGTGACATTACATGTTTACAAGAACGCCGACAAGTGGATACAGAATGACAAAGCGATTGAAATAAATTACATCGATTTGTATCATTGAGATATTTTGGTACATCAAAAAACATGTTAAATAGAGTTCGAATTTTTTCGAAATTGCTTTACTTCCATTGCAGTGGCGAGACATCTGGATGGTATTTGACCGAGAGGGTGGATAAGGCCTGTCTGTCTCTTGAATGTTCTCTAATTTTTAGCCCCTTTATAACTGGAAAAATCATATATATATATATATATATATGATATAGTTTGAGCTGTAGAGGTTCACGATACCCAAAATAAGATTCTTCCAAGTTTCGCATTGGAATTTGCTAGTTTGACGAAGGCGTGGGAAGTATATAATCAATCTACTTGACTCCATTTTTTTAACTTTCTTAGAGTTTTACCATACATAATTTTTTATGAACATTTGAATCTACTCTAGAATAATATTTTATTTTATGTCTTTTTGGCGCCACCCATTTGTCGAATCAAAATTATTTATAGAAAATGAGTATGTACGCCAACTTCCTTTTGACTAAGTAATTTCCCCGTATCCAGAAAGTTTGGGTGTTATAATATTATTGGCAGGTGCCCAAAATCACCTATTTATTGGTTGACATGCAACGAATAAGCTTAGTGAGTGGCCTACCGCAGGTTATTTTTGTGTGTCGGTGATGAGAGATGCTAGTCGTGCAATAAATTGCCAAAATGAGGATCCTGTGGTGTTTATGTGCCGTATTATGTGTCTTGTAAGTACTATTTCTTCTTGTTTGCTGTCTTTTTATCGGTTGTATTAATCTGTAGGTGTGAAATACAGGGGCGTATGCGTAGCATAGCGGCCAAACCGTTTTAGTTAGAAAGAAATCTTATACAAGATTTTTCTGAAATTACCTGCTCTCCAACATAAGCTTAGTTTTAATTATACATGATGTTCCGTTTCGACTAGGCATGCCGCGGCTGTTTTCAGATCAGTGTAGCTTGAACAATTTCAGAAAATAAGTTGATTTTTTCAAGGTACTGTAAATGAGGAGACAATTCGAAAAATAAGCGAATAACTAAAAACCCTATATTTTATTTCATATATGTACTCCACAAACTTGTACTAAAATGAAGCTCATAACCTAAAAATGCAATAACATACAGGATGTTCTATCTAAAGTGACGAAGATGTTTTACGCCAAACCTAAGCAGAGCATTCCGTATAATTATAAACAATTTCAGGTTGGAGAGCACGTAATTTCAGAGAAATCTTGTATGAGACCCTTTTTCTAACTTTAACTGTATATCCTTACGTAATTGATGATATTGACATGGTTTAAGGCTCCCCAGTATGCTTATATCAGGTGTTTCTGAAGAACGTGGCCATATTTCTTGGTCATAATGAAGATCTAAAAGCAACACAACGAGTCTCCATAAATATGGCTAATTGCCTACTTACCGAGATACAGGATGTGGAAATTATAATTTCGAAATTAACAATAAATTATATTTTCGATGCGGATTAAAATATAAACTTAAACTTTTCTGTATGCAGTCTTATTGACACCACAACCAATATACAGTCCAAGATAAGGATCTTATGGATCTCTCTGTAGGAGAGACAGCTTAGGTTAAATTAAAAAAAGCTGCATTCTTTGCGATTGACAAATTTGCAAAAATTTCATGGCTTACTCAGGTATTTGTGAAAAAATAAAATTTGGCCAAATCGTTTTTATTTTTCTTTACTTTATTTTAGGAAATATCAAAAAACTAATGGAATTTTCTCATTGGAACTTTTTAGGCGCTACGTGATGGTGTTTTGAAATTTTGTGGCCGCCGTTTCCTTTTCGAGATGTTAAATTGGTTTTCTTAGTTATGAATAAAAATGCTTGATGTAAGATTATGTGATTACTGATAGATGTATACATATTTATACATTTTACATGATTATATGATGGGGTAAAATTTTATAAATTGATGCGTAATCTAGTGATAGAACAACGAATAGGTATATTTTTAAAATTATTTTTATTTTATTCACAATAGCTGTTCAAATAGGTTGCCATTATTTTATAATCATAAATATTATCTTCTAACAGTAAAATCAAAAACATCATATAAAATTTCTGGTGTTATCATACTAAATGCTTGCATTATACGTTCTCGTAACTTCTGCTCAGTTTCAAACGTGTGCTGCAATAATTGGTTTCCAGTAAAACCCCACACATGTTCAGAGGAGTTGAATCCGGGGAACGCGATGGCCAGGACACTTTACTGGAGGTTCTAAACCACCTTCCAGGAAATCGCTGATAACTTGCCTACAGTGATATGCAGGAGCACCGTCTTGTTGAAACCAACAGCTATTAACCTGTGCCAAAGGTAAAATTATCCAGGCAGTCCTCTGGATCATGTTACAACAATTGAAAGCACCATTTACCATTTACAGTTAATGAGTTGGAGTAAATAAATGGACCTAATATTTTCATCCTTAGAGTTCCACACTACATATTAAAACCAAAACGTTCTCGTAGTCTGGACACTTTTTTAGCCCACAGCTTTTCTTGAAACCAGTAATGAGTATTGTGGCGATTGACGATAGTATTATTAGTGACCATTCTGTCGTCAGACTATATTATTTTTGAAGGAAAATTAAATTCTTCTTCACACGTTCGTGAGTACCACTCACAAAAATGCTGGCGCCGTTCGCTATGCCTTGGTCTAAGTCCTTGGCAAATCCTGAATTTTTAGGGGTGATATCTACTTTTACACAAAATAAATATTCTGAGTTTTCTCTGAAGATTCTTTTTTTCGAGACGTAACAGGACTTTTGAATGAACCACATTCAATTAAATTTCGAGGCAACTCTTACTTACTTGGCCGCTTTCTTTCGGGAGATTTATCAAAATACATTTCTGCAGTATTTTTAGCATTTGTGTAGCACAAAATGTACCACGTCAGTCGAACTTTTATTCATTGCTAAAATGACAGCCTGGCATAATTGACTATAACCAAGCAATAATAACATTACACAATAATAACAACACTTGGTGACAAGCATTTGTTTGCGCAACGCCTACTCAAAAAATAAAATAAAAAATCAGAAAATACGCATTCTTCCTTATAACCAAAAAAATCAATGTAACGTAACGATGTAATAAATCGTTGAGTTCGTTTAAAAAAGTGCTCTAAAATACGTGTTTCTTTTTCGGGCCGTATAAAAAAATGAAGATTTTTCCCAAATATATCACTAAGCCAGTTCTCAACGGCATGTTAAAATGCCCCTTTTTAATTGAGCCTAAGCTGTATCCCTCATAGGTATTCCCCATGCTTAGGATCATTATCTTGGATACCCTATACACAAAAATGTTTGTGCCTGAGACTGTATCAGTCGCGTAGAAATTGGATCCATACAGAAAGAAATAGGAAATTTTTTCTCTACGTGACTGAGTTTTTTGAAACGCTTATTTTATATTTGAATAAGGTGTTCAATTTTATAAGAATCGCCTCTGATGAGAAACTTTTGTCAGATTTTTTTAGACAAAAAGTGGTGTAAATGTTTGACGTAAACTCAGGATAAAATGTGTATAATGTACCTTCTACTCAAGAAATATTGCCTCGTTTTTCTAAGGTATCCTGAATATTTCTATAGAAATAACATTCATTTCATTGAAAACTAGCAAGGTATGCTAAAAGATCCTCGTGGTGACACAATGCTACCGCCCGAACAGTGAATGTGAGAACGATACAATCAATGACATGATTAGGTCGTTTGATTCCTTAATGTTGGTTGGATACAAAAGACGGCTGCACTTATTTTTTATTTGTAGTATTTCGCAAGTATTACGACTACTAGTGACAAAACTTGGGATTATTCAATGTTTAGTAGAAAGAACCGACAAATGTCATACCATCTTTAAAAGAGCATTAAATAGGCTAGTTTTTAAGATCATTTGCCGATTCAGCCTGTTAAATTTTTTCACATTAATTAGTCAAACTTCAGTAAAGGTTTTCACATTGAAACAGAATGTAATAATTTTTTTGCATACCGTGCTACAATGAAATGAATACTCGGTTGTCTCAACCACCTATTAATGGCTGCTCAGGGAAAAAAATCATAAGTTAGAAGTTCTTTGTAGGCATAACAGGCAAAAAGGAGCAAAAAGTAGTGATATTTTTAAAAAACTCAAAAGTGTCAATATCTCGAAAACTTTTATTAAGGTCATGTTGATTTTATCTGGTTGATCTGAAGCCAATGTACCTCCCGTGCCATTCTGGCCTGTTATTTCTGGGATATCTTGTATAAACATGCTCAAGATACGAGCTTGTAGAGAGAAAAGCTAACAATTCCGTTTTCTTCAATCTTTATTTGTGTTTTGTCTGTAGGGATAGATTGTTTATTTGGATAAGTCAGTAAAAAATGGGAAAAGGAAAGTGGATGGTGCAGAGGACTGCAATTTATTTTAATCACGTTTTGTGATAATATCCAATTTACTGGGTCAAACAATTATCAAAAACTTGCTCATGAAGGAATCAAGCAACATTTTTCTGCATTGCCAATATGTGGTGAAACGTGAGCGAACAAGTAAAAAATAAATGAACTGTGCAGGTGAATTGCAATTCCAAGTACAGCTTTGTCATAAAATCCGTATTTACATCGTAGCCGTAGGTACGTCGAATTACTGTACGCTGCCGCTGGCACTGTGGACGTGATCAAGGCATAGGACAGAACCGGTTTCGGTTTGGTTCAGGTTTGATTAAGTTTGCGGAGCCTAATATCTCAGTTCTCTTAACACATTGGTGTATATGCTACTAAGAAAATCCACTTATTTTCTCAAGATCTACACGTCGTGTACCTAAAGGAAAACTCCAACTTTGCGGACACCCTGTATACCGGTGATCGGGAACCATTTTTATGTAGGTAGCAGGCGTTCCTATTTGACGGAGCTATTATTATTTGTGATTGAAATTAAACATTTTACAAATCAACTACAACTTTAAAATGATAAGTGAGCCCATGTTTAGACGTATGATACAAGTGGATCCAAAACTAATACCTTCAGTAAATATAATTAAATACTTATATCATTAGAAGCTTTCGCAATCAAAAGAAAAAAGTATACAAGAGAAGTTAGTGAATGCAATTTAATATACCTTCCAAGAAAACTCCACGTGAAAAAGATTTGCTTTAGTAGAATTCAGTAAAAACTAAGTTACAGGCAAAATGGTGTTAAGTTCGGAAACTTTAAGGCAACAGATTCTTGGATAATTTGAGATCCTTCCTCATTGGATTGAAACTGCACAAGGAAACGGTTTGTTTGATGATCGATGAGAAATCAAGATAATTCCGGCAAAATTACACTACAGTTAAACAATCGTTTCATACCTTGACCTTTCCGTACTACATATTTGGACACCCTTTAGTAGGTACTCAGGAAGCTCGTATAGGGTTAAGTTGGGGAAAGCATCACTTTGCATATTTTATAAAACGATTCGTTAATGACATATTTGAATTGAATGTTAATGTAAAGTAAGGTTATTTTACGTGTTTCTATCAAAATGAACAATAAAATATGTAAATACTGAGAGTTTTGAATAATGAGCTTTTTAAAATGTAAACTGTTAAATTTTGCTCGCCTAAAATGTATTGGGACAATCAATAATTACGGAAGAGGCATTAAATAGGGTAACCAGATGGCGTTATAAATACAATTTAGTAAATGTTGAGGTGGTACAATTTAAAAACTGGTACAATATATCCGACTTTTCCCTACTTTTTGGATTTATTGTATGTTGAACAGCGAAATCCAAAATGGTACACCGTATTTCTTTGTCACCTTTATGAGTACTACAATAAATAATGAAATATCACCATCTGAGTGAACACGAAAAATACAATAAACTGGAAAATTAAGCGTGATGGTTCAACATTTTCCTGCATACTTTTTCTTCCTGAAGTGTGTTTTCTAGATTTTTTGAATCCATCGAGTTGTTGAAATCCTACAGATATATAGAAGGCACCATATTCTCCATTTTGGATTCTGAAGTTTAGATCCAATTTAGTCATCTAACAATATAAAAATATATGAAACAAACTTTAGCGTTTGGCAATTTCATTTAACAGCTGAAGTTCTCACTCAGTTATTCGGCAGGGATTGAATAAGCACCTCTCATTTCTTACTTCCTGTGTAATTTAATATCCCTTTGGCGTTTGATATAGAAGATTTCCAGTGACAGCGTTATTACTCCTCATAGCGGAGGCATTTATAGTCAGTCATGCATATTATAGATTCTGCAGTAATGTCGACAAAAAGCGACCAAGTTATTTTGAGTCAGATTTATAGACCGTCTTTGTGGCTTGAAGCTTGCTTGGAAACAACAGATCTGTCCTTGAAAACTGTGAAACAATGACGCTTCCTTGAG